TCTGACACGGATGGGCAGACTCCATTACTGTCGTAAGTCAAGGACTACCTGTAAATTAGTCACTTATTTATTTAGTGAATTTAGAGGCCACCCATCCTATATACATGCCTCAGGCTCACAATTAAAACAGTGTGACCAACAATTAAAACAATCAGTGTTAAAAACAACAAAAATAACATAAAAATAGTTAAAACTTAGGAAGAAAAGATTGGAAAATCTAAAACATGACTTGCATGTAAAATTATATATCAGATTATAATCAGAGTTTCTAGTTTGGAAAATATACAAAAGAATGCAATTTACTTTAAAATACATGAATTCCAAAACAAAAGACATTAGATTTTTCAAGGCTTGTTGTCTGGAATTCATATTACACACCTTTTCACCAGCAACAACACAAAGAGATTCAGTATCTACACATTTGGAGTTCCTTAGGCATCTTTCTAATAGCCGATTCAGTTTTACAAGCAATTCAGATTGCCTAGAGTAAAAAAAAAAATCATACAATTTATTTTCAAAAACTCAGTACATTGTTTTCTAAATTCCTAGGAATTATTGAGTTCCAAAGATGTCTTTGAAAAAGGATCCATTGTCAGATAAAAATGAGAAATCAAGTTTTTCAAATCTTGATTTTGTGTCTTACATATTTTTTCACAAGTATCACTAATACAGACATCTTAGTGTAAATTTCCCTTCCTGGACTCTTTTGAGATATTTATAATGAAAAATCTCCAGTTAACTGATTGTTTTGGGTTCAAAATATAATACGCTTGCTATGGTTAATATTATAACAAAAATTGGAATATTATTTGCAGAAAACAATGTATTGTTATCTTTTTTCTCAAACTAAACTGACACTATGAAGTAAACCAGGTCTCAAAATTGGTTTAAAAGATCTGAAGGGACACTGGGATCTTTACATTATATCAACTAGTAGGTTTTTTTTTTTCATTTTATATGTTAAAAAATAAAAACCGTTCGTAAGTTATCACCACTTGTCAATATTTACAATTTCAACATTTCTTCATGTATTATTTTGGATGAGCTGCATTTTCAGTCTCAGAAACATTTAGGTTATTAGAAAGGAGCACTATATTTTATAAAATAAAAAGCTCATAGTGAACCTTTAATCGTATTTGTTGTCAATAAATCAATTTAATATGCAAATGTTAAAGATGACTAAATGAAGAAAGGAACTTAGGAAACTCATTTTATTGAAACAATGAGAAAATATTTTGACTTCAGTATCAAAAACCTTACTAGATCTCAGACTACAGTAATAATTCAAACTTCTTAGATGTCCAAGTTTGTGTTTTTACAAAAAAGAAATACTGCTGGAAATGTGATCAGAATAATATTTCATTAAAAGGCATGTTTTGCATATTCTTAACATTACTATGTTCTAGGAAGAGGTAGTTCCATACATTAATTTCAGACATAAACTTTGAAGTAAAGTTTAATATTTTCAGATACATACGTTCTTTTGAACTACATACATATTGCATGGAAATTGACATGGATTAAGGAATGGATTCTCCATGCCCTGAACTGCCAAAATATTAACTCTTCAACATTTGAAAGAGAAATTTATGGTTCCAGTTACCCTGTTGAAGACTTAATATTTTGGCAATTAACAGGGCATGGGGAGAAATGTTTTACTTGAATCCTCCTTTCGTTACTGCAAGGTGGGGGGGCCCACACATACCTTCCAGGTTCAAAAGCCGGTGATGCCATCGGTGACAACTCTAGATTAAAGAAAAGTATGCCTTCTGTTGCACGATTTGGCTTTGGGGAGACAAGTTCACATGACACTTGCCCAAGAACTCTGCAAAAAGAAGACACAATCTTTAGAATCAAACCGCAGACACTTATTGGTTAATAGAAGAAATGGCAAAGATTCTATAAAATCTACATTAACATAGAAGTGAAATATATCTGGAATCTATTTACTGGATACCTAGCTGAAAGTAATAAATGGCATAATGCCTTTATAAGTGCTATCAAGTAGAAGATAAGGTAGGTGTGGAATAGCTATTTGATACAAATCAAAGGAAAAGTTTCTTCATTTACAGGTGAAACTCAAAAAATTAGAATATTTTGCAAAAGTTCATTTATTTCAGTAATGCAACTTAAAAGGTGAACCTAATATATGAGGTAGACTCATTACATGCAAAGCAAGATAGTTCAAGCCGTGATTTGTCATAATTGAGATGATTATGGCTTACAGCTCTTGAAAACCCCAAATCCACAATCTCAGAAAATTAGAATATTACATGCAATCAATAAAACAAGGATTGTACATAGAACAATATCGGACCTCTGAAAAGTATAAGCATGCATATGTACTCAGTACTTGGTTTGGGCCCATTTTGCAGCAATTACTGCCTCAATGCGGCATGGCATGGAAGCTATTAGCCTGTGGAACTGCTGAGGTGTTATGGAAGACCAGGATGCTTCAATAGCGGCCTTCAGCTCTTCTGCATTTTATTCGGTCTCATGTCTCTCATCTTTCTCTTGGCAATGCCCCATAGATTCCCTATGGGGTTCAGGTCAGGTGGGTTTGCTGGCCAATCAAGCACAGTAATCCCACGGTCATTGAACCAGGTTTTGGTGCTTTTGGCAGTGTGGGCAAGTGCCAAGTCCTGCTGGAAAATGAAGTCAGCATCCCCATAATGCTCATCTGTGGAAGGAAGCATGAAGTGCTCCAAAATCTCCTGGTAGATGGCTGCATTGTCCCTGGACTTAATGAAGCACAGTGGACCAACACCAGCAGATGACATGGCTCCCCAAATCAACACAGACTGTGGAAACTTCACACTGGACTTCAAGCATCTTGCAGTGTGTGCCTCTCCATTCTTCCTCCAGACTCTGGGTCCTTGGTTTCCAAATGAGATGCAAAAGTTGCTCTCATCAGAAAAGAGGACTTTGGATCACTGAGCAACACACCAGTTCTGTTTTTTTTTAGCCCAGGTAAGATACTTCTGACGTTGTTTATTATTCAGGAGAGGCTTGACAAGAGGAATAAGACATTTGAAGCCCATGTCCAGGATCCGTCTGTGTGTGGTGGCTCTTGATGCACTGACTCCAGCCTCGGTCCACTCCTCATGAAAGTCCCCAACACTTTTGAATGGCCTTTTCTGACAATCCTTTCCAGGCTGCGGTCATCCCTGCTGCTTTTTCTTCCACACTTTTCCCTTCCACATAACTTTCTATTAATGTGCTTTGATACAGCACTTTGGGAACATCCAACTTCTTTTGCAATTACCTTTTGGGGTTTCCCCTCCTTCTGGAGGATGTCAATGATGGTTTTCTGCACAACTGTCAGGTCAGCAGTCTTTCCCATGATTGTGATTCCTACTGAACCAGACTTACAGGCCCTCATCAGAGATGTTAAGAGTTAGATTTTTGTTACATACCCAACTTCTGCATGAACCTGATTTGATTGTTAGTATGAATAACATTGCTATCTATTGCATCACTGAGAACTATGGGAACAATATGTATGAAGGATAAGTTTTTTCTTTAATTATCTAACAAGTGTGGAATTTCATCTCCTGGGAAGGAAATATGGCACTTTCTGATAGTCGTTGTAAGAGGTTTAAAAATAATTTCATTTCAGTCAACATTGTGTTTATTTTAAAAAATATGCTTTTAACAAAGATACCATTTAATATTGCTATTTTATTGTATTTTTTTGTTATTTTACCAAGTAATGTACTGAACACCCTGCATGGTTTCATTATATCTTGTAATTTATGTTACGTAAGTTAAAATTTGCTTTGTAAAGATTGTTTTCCTAAAAGCCAGACTGCAAGTCTATTAAATACAATATACAGAATTATAAAACACTGGATACCTTGTTTTTCCGAGCTCCACAATACAGCAGCCATAGTCAACACCAAAAGAAATGCGGAGGTTTCTGTAATCGTAGCACTGTCGCCCATCCAGACGCTATAAATATGAAACAATATAGACACTTAACAGCAAGAATGAAAAATAGCTCAAATCAAATGCTCAAATCTGAGGAAGCAGAGCCAAAATTTTGTGCAGGGACCTTGCATAATTCAGTTCTAACTCTAACCTTTTAAAAAGTTTTAAACTTCAGAAAAAAGGGCAAGCAGAAATCTTTGTATCTCAAAGATTTAAAAAAATGCTTCATATGTTGATGCTTACTTTGGGCATTTCTAATTTAGGACTTTTACAGTTTTTTATAACTTTAAAGTTTTTTATATTTAAGAACTTATAAAGTTCTGCACTACCTATAACAGTTAAAACAATCCAGAGGTTACACCATGATAAGTCCAGAGTACAGGTAGTCCTCAATTTATGGCAATTGAGCCCAAAATTTCTGTTAAGTGAAATATTTGTTAAGTGAGTTTTGCCCCATTTTGCAACCTTTCTTCCCACAGTTGTTAAGTAAATCACTTGCAGTTGATAAATTAATAGCCCGGTTGTTAAGTGAATCTGGCTTCCCCATTGACTTTGTCAGAAGGTTACCAAAAGGTGCTCACATGACCTTGGGACACAGCAACGGTCACAAGTATGAAATAGTTGCCTTACAAGCATCTGAATTTTGATCATGTGATCATGGGGATACTACAAAGCTTGTAACTGTGAAAAATAAAGAGTCACTTTTTTCTGTGAAAAACTGTGAAAAATAAACGAGTCACTTTTTTCAGTGACTTTGAACGGTCACTAAATTATGGTAATTGAACGGTCACTAAATTGTGGTAATTGTGAATTGTGGTAAGTCGAGGATTATTTGTATCTAAAGCTAGTCTTCTGGAATGTCTGTCCAAGAACAGGCTCTCCACATTAGGGGTCTCCAACGTTGACCACTTTAAGCCTGGCGGACTTCAACTCTCAGAATTCCCCAGCTGGGGAATTCTGAGAGTTGAAGTCCACCAGGCTTAAAGTGGCCAACGTTGGAGACCCCTGCTCCAAGTGACTGAAGAATACCAGGCTCTCTTGTCAGTCCAGTTTGGAAAATTATATGCCTAAAGCAAGCTGTCTTCAAACTTGACCGCTTTAAGACTTGTGGACTTCAACTCCCAGAATTCCTCCTCCAGTTACGTTAGCTCAGGAATTCTGGGAGTTGAAGTCCACAAGCCTTAAACTTGCCAAGTTTGAAGACCCTTGGCCTAAATCCTTCCACAGAAAACGTTTGCAATTTCTAGCAACATCAATCTCAAGCAGACCTCAACTAAAAAAAAAAAAAAAGTGGATGGCAAAAGGCAGCTGGCGCCGCTTTCTCACCCCACTACGCACATGCGCAGACCGATATTCATCCGTCCCTCGGGCGCCTCACCGCAGTTCGAAGCGCACGTGATATTATCTCCCCCCCCCCCCCGTTACCTTCCTTTCCTCGATAGCCCGGAGCAGGAACCGTTTCTCACAATTAGAGAGTGGCGTTTCCTTCATAGCAGCTACCGGTTCGACCTGTCTTCAAATGGTCGCGTTCTTTCGTTAGCCGTCTGTGTTTTGCAGACGTCATAAGCGGGCGCCGTTTAGCAAGAGCCCGCAATTTAAAAAGCGTTGCCGAACCGGCTTTCGATTTCTGCTTGGCAACCCGCCGTAAAATAGAAGGAACGTGACGTAAAAAAAAGGTTTATTAGGTGCGCACGCGCGGACTTAAGCGTGACCCCTCCCCCCCCTCCCCCGGTGACTGAAGGGCAGGGGGAAATCCCTGGGTGCCTGGCGGCGTTTGCCTGGGGCAGCGATGGGGAGTCCGTAGCTTTTTAGAGGTCGTCGGGCTCTGGCGGTGCGTTAAGCTGCGGCTGACGGAGGGTTTGAGTCAAAATTCCCCACTATAGAACCAGTGCATAATAAAACCACCTTTTTTTTTTTTTTTACACTGCCTGTGCATCCAAGCGCGAAAGTTTTTTTTAGGCTTGTTAAGAAAGGTATGGAGCATCTAAGCCCTGTTTACAGTCACTTTCTGCAAGTTCGAAGGGGTTTGGGAAAGCTGTGTACAGTTGCATTTTGATCACCTGATCATTATGCTGCCCTTGTAGTATTCCTTTGTTAAGAGAAATTAGTTTTTCAGCCAATCATTGTCTACAGATGAAATTTAATGTGCCTAAGAAGCATAGGTGTGCAATGGTCCTGCTGTGGGATTTCCGGGAAAATGGATTGACAGATGTGGAAGAGCTTGGCTCTAACTGCCTCTTCTGCCTAGCCTTGACTTGGGAAATCTGCCCCGGGTTGGCTTGCTGACGTTGGTGAGAAAATCGGTCCCTTATTCCAGAGCTGCAGTAGTCACAAGACTGGCCCTTTGGTCATCCCGGAGCAGCCCTTCCAGTCCATGACAGGCCAGTGCGCCCAGGTGGAGGAGCAACTGCTCCAGGATGATCAAACAGCCAGTCCTGTGACTACTGCAGTTCCGGAATATGGGACCGACTTTCCCACCAATGTCAGCAAGCCACTATCAGTCAAAATTCGTATCAGTGGTCCACGGGATTTAAAATTATGAGTTTGGTGGTCCTTGAGGTCCAAAAGGTTGGCGACCCCTGGTTTAGAATAGATTTAGAATCGCTTTTTCTAACATCCCATCGGAATTCTGTAGAGATTCTCAGTCATCCAGGTCATGATTGTCCCAAAGATGCTTTTTTAGGAGGTAACTGGACTTTCTAGTTTTTTCTTTGAAGAAAAATGAAAAATCCTTCCATTCCCCACTATTCTGTCAGAGCTGAAGAAGCTTCTTGGATGAGAAGTGAAACATCTTCAGAGAAAAAAAACAAGAAAGTCTAGTTGCCTCCTGAAAAAGCATCTTTGGGAATTCCATTGGAACCTGGTCTCCTGTAATTTCAACCCGTTATTCTGTCTCATGAGAAATACCCTGTTTCTCCAACAATACGGCCTCCCCCAATAGGAAGTCCCAGCATGTTTTATAGGCATGAAATGAAATTAAGCCCCTCCCCCCAAATTAAGGCCTATATTAAAACATGCGAAATGGGGGGGAATGGTGGGGGGGCTTGCCGTTAGGAAGTACTTTTGTTGCACACCCGGATATGGTGCTGCCTGCATTGACCCCGATACGAAGTGCCCCACCAACGCCGAGGTCAACATCCAAGCTGTCGCCACCCGCCCGCCCGAAGATGCAAGGGGGGGGAATTAAGTCACCCCCGAAAAGACGGCCTAGCCATTTTTTCGGGGCTCAAAAAAAAAAAGACCCGGCCTTATTATATTGAGAAACACGGTAGGTTCTGTTCTTATTTATTCAATTTCTATGCTGTCCATCAGAGATACAGTGATCTGGGCTGCTTACAATATTACATTACATTAGTATTGTTATTGATTACACTCAATAATATACTATTTTGTGTTATATCTTTTCAGATATTTAAAAAGTGCTTGTGTTGCTCTTAGTGGTATTTCTCTGAGTTGAGCTCCCCCCCGCTCCGAAAATCAGGCAAGAAGGAAAAACACCCCAAGAAATAGAAAAGACTTTCTACAAAAAATTCAAACTGCACCCCCTCACTGACTAGGAAAACTGCCTAGTGGTTTTTGCAACAAGTGAAGTATTTTGTATCTCATTCACAAAAGGGGAGAGCATATATTGGATACAAAGCTTCTGGAGCAGCTCCATTCAGAGAAAGTGTGGCAGACTATATAGCCCAGTGATGGCTAACCTTTTGGTCGTTGTGTGCCAAAAGTGTGCGTGTATGTGCGCACACCTGCCTTCACCCATAATGCAATGCACGCATGACCCCCGCCCCCATCCCCCTGTGCATGCCTCTGTTAAGGCGACATTCCTGCCACTTGTTTCCCGGATGGAAAATTGAGCCCAGAATTCAACATCCAACATCTCAAAACAGCGTGCTAGACTACTTCAGATGCTTTTCCTAGCCCTCTGATGATCTTCCATGCTAGCCTTTAAACCTGTTCCACTTTCTTTAAATCCTAAAAGTGCTATTAAAATGAATATTCTTCCAAAATTCCTATATATATTTCAGACGATCCCAATCAAAAAAATTTTTTTGAAGAACTTAATAAAATAACTGTAAAATTCATCTGGCAAGGGAAAAAATCTAGAGTAAATTTAAAGGCAATGCAGGATATGAAGAGCAGGGGAGGGCTGGCACTTCCAAATTGGGAGTTGTATTATAGTGCAGCCTCTTTAGTATGGTTGAAGGAATGGGTGAATTTAACCAATAAGAGAATATTATTATTAGAAGGCCATGACTTGCAAAGGGGGTGGCATGCTTTTTTATGGGGTGTAGGGAAAACTAGCCAGAAATATTTTCACAGACACCTAATCAGAGACTCATTATTAACTAATTGGAAGAAAATACGGAAAAAACACTATTTAAAAATACCAATTTGGATTTCAACAATGGAGGCGATGATTCACCCAAATAATCTGGATATCACTAAAATGATTAAATATAAGGATCTATTGCATACACAAGGAAATTTGAAATCGTGGCAAGAACTTCAAGAGTGGGGACTAAAAATTGATCAGTGGGTATATCTTCAAATTCAAACTAGATATAAACAGGACAAGAAAGAATTTGGAATTAACAATAAACTCCAGCAATTAGATAAAATTTTATTAGGATCAGGCAAAAAAATATATAACAAAATTTTATAATTATTTATTAGAAGTAGAATTAGAAGAAGAAATTGTAAAAGGGAACATGATAGCCTGGAGTAGGAATATAGGACGTAGCATCATCATAACAGAATGGGAAAAGGTCTGGGGTAGAAATAATAAAATTACAAAATCGGTATCATACAAAGAAAACGCCTATAAAATATTTTATAGATGGCACCTTCCTCCTTCGAGATTAGCGAAGATGCACCCCAATTTGAGTCCGAATTGCTGGAATGCAAAAAAAAAAAGAGGGAACTTTTTTCCATATGTGGTGGTCCTGTACAGAAGCTCAAAAATATTGGCAGAAAATTAGAAATTGGCTGGAAGAAATGACAAGAGAACAGATCGAATTCAAACAGAGTCCTTTCTGTTAGGGATCTTTGATAAACAAATATCAAAAAAAGTGAAATATATAATAATACACATTTTGACAGTGGCCAGATTGGCTTTTGCACAATGTTGGAAGCAGCCTCATGTTCCATCAGAGGAGCTGATCATTCAAAAAATTTCAAGTTGTGCAGAAATGGACAAATTAACTTTGGCATTAAAAAATAAAGACACTTCAATATACTACAACAGCTGGAAGTGCTGGTACAAATGGATAGACCAAAGATAGACTTCACACTAAAAGGCAAAAGAGGATAGGATTAATCCATAGTAGTGATACACAGATATATGTAAGGATTAGGTATGTGTATATGGCATAAAATAAGGATTAAAAAGAGGTCTTACAAAGTGTTGAAGATGAGAATGTTTTTAATTGTTTTCTATTTTTTTCTTTCTATTTTCTTCTCCCTTTTTTCTTTTTCTCTCTTTCATTTATGTATGTGTTGTTGGTTTGTTTTAATTGTAAAATCAATAAAATTTATTTTAAAAAAATCCTAAAAGTGCAGTGTCCACAAGTGGTATATGGCCTAACCAAAGCATTAGAGAGTAATTTGCTATGATTTGAAAATTAGGTTTATGTAGATGCAGCCCTACTACTACTTATATTCAACTGGAACTACTCTTCCAAAATACTTTTCCTAGTACAAGTCCTATTACTAGACTAGGTATCCATCCTGCATCTCATTTTTTATGGTTGGGTCTTGTTTGCCATAAATGTCCAACCTTTCATTATTTCATATTTTCTGTTTCCAAGTTATTAGCTGTCCCACTCAATTTTATATCTCTAAAATTGATAAGCATTCCCACCATATCATTATCCAATTAATAAACATATTGAAGTGTAGGGGTTCAAGATTTATTCTTGGGATATCTTACTTTGTAACTTTTTCTAATTTGATGAGTTATTGGTAAACACTCTTTTAAGTATTTTTTTTTGAGTCACAATGTTTTCCAACCCATTAGTTTGCTGATCAGCATGTTGTGGGATAATATGTAAAATAATTTGCTGAAGTCAAAGTATTTTTACAGCATTCCCACAATTTTGTAAGACATTTGCTTAGTTTTAAAAAAAATGGGTAAGATTAGTCTGGCAGTATTTATTTCTGACACATTCATGCTGGCTTTGAAAATAGTTGCGTTATTTTTAAGGAACATTATCTCTTTATGATTTTTTTAAAGAGCTTCCCAAGTATTGATGTCAGATTTCATGAGATATATAGTTTGCTTGATTCTAGAAGACCTTTCCAGTCCTATGAGTCTACCATTCCCCTTTTAAACAACTTCTAGTTTGAATGCTTCATCTGTTCTCCAGGATTTTGCAGAGATAATGGAGGTAGCCAGATTATCATGTAGTTTCTTCGACACTCAAGGAAGCAATATATTTAGTCTGGAGAGGCAAACTCTTTCAAAGAAAAGAGATGTTCTTTGACAATGCTCCAGTCAATCTCAGTTTTAATCAAGTTGAATTTCTGGTAGAACAGGGGTCCCCAACCACCGGTCCGCGGACCGGTACCGGTCCGTGGAACAAGTCCTACCGGGCCGCTGGCTTGCTGGGCGCCGCCATCTTGTTTTGATGAAAAAGTGCTTCCAGTGAGCTTTTCCG